GTCTGTGCCCAGACTGGTTCAGAAGAGGTCTTGTCTGGGAAAGATAGTAGAGCAGAAAGCCTCATGGCTCATTTCAATTGGAACCAATATACTAACAATCCGTTTAATTTTTAAATCTTACTTACTTCCCAAGAATGACACTGGATTCTGTCTCTTGAGCTAGGGGTTAACTGTGGCTCTTGGCTGCACACCCAGAGGCTGAAAATCCATCAGGTGAAGGGTAGGTGAGGAAACACCACCAATGGAAGGGCCGGAACAGTGACTGGGACTGGGAAGATTGAAACTCTAACCTCCTTAAACAGGAAGATTGACCTTGAATCAGGCAAGATCACATTCTGCCTGCCAGCATCACCTATGGGGCCGCGACCATCTTGGGGTTAGACTGCACCTCACAGTCAGCTCATTATTGAAAAGATAATTCCTTGACTGCTGGAAGGCATCTGATTAGCACAGCATGTGCTATTCTCATCTCCCACAGTTTGTTGTTTCTGACTTCCCTGCCCTTGCTCCGGCGGAGTGGCCCTGGCACCCCGCGTCCCCCCAAGTCCAGCCCCGGCGTCCGCGCGCGAGCGGGGCGGGGACGGTTCCCCTGGGCAGTCTCACTTAAGTCATTAAGCAGAACGATCAGAACTGTCTTGCTCCCATCAAACAGCTTGAACCCTGACTGAAATGAATCTAGACTGTTTAACATGCACCAAGTCACACCGTTTGCATTACAGCAGCACAATATAAGAAAAAAAAACAGGACTGATCAAGGAAAGAACAGGCTATGCTGTCTGTCATTAGAGGAGGGGAAAGGATCCAATGGGAAAGCCAGTCTACAGCCCGGCTTTACACGCCTTGCTGTTCGTGTTTGATCAGCCAGAACCCTCTTTCAGGACTGAATGGAAGTGGAAATGAACGTCAACTGAGGAGGAGAAGAGCTAAGCTCTGCCTGTGGAACAAACCATTCCTAAAATCACATGTCTTACTAATCTCATGTCTTTAAGCTCTAGAAACTTCTGAAACGTCCTGCGCAGGCACAGAAGAACCCAATTGTGTGCATTCACAGAGGCCACGAAGACGAACCAGCGGTCTAAACCCATGGATGTTTCTTTTCATTTTTCTTTAACAGCAAATTTTAATTTGTATCTAGTCTTTCCTTATTTTATTATTTTTCAGATATATATTTTCACTTATGCATACTATGTGAGGTCTTGTGGGGTCTTAAATTCAAACCTGCAAACCGCCCAGAACAATTAATTAAAAGGAATAAATTAAATTAAGCATAGATGATCTCACCAGATCCACCCACCTGGCTAAAAAAGGGGAGCCATTGAGGGGTGTCCGGGTCAAGGGTGAATTTTATGGCTCCTGATGCCTGGCCTTCCACCTTCCCAAACTTTACGGCGTCAAAAGACTTGTTCTTGGGAAAGACCATCCAGTTCACTACATCGAAGTGGGCTCCCAGTTCCCCCTTCTCGTCCAGAAACACCCCATCCATGGAAGTGTTGTAGAAGTGGGCGTTTCCCAAGAAAGGGTGAAGCTGGAAAGACAAAGAGAGAAAAGAAGGGCATTTGGAGATACAGAGAACACTGTGGAAGGCAGACTGGCAAAGCTTCATAGATTTCTGTCATGGTGCCTTTCTCATTATCTACAGGGGGAAATGAGTTGTAACAGGCTGGTTTCATCTTTACATCTTCTGTGTGGTATTTTCTTTTCTTTTTAAACTAAACACATTAATACATTATAATTATTATTATTTATTTAATTTATACCCCGCCTATCTGGCCCACCGGACCACTCTAGGCGGCTTCCAAATATAAAATCAAATAATAAAACATAGACAAATACATAATAATCAAACAAGAACAGCAGTAAAGATAAAAAGGAAAAGTAAGAAAAAATCAAGAGTTGGCTGGAGGGAAGGCCTGAATAAACAGCCATGTAACATATAACATAAAACGAATAATCTGTTCCCTCAAATTACATACCTATACCTATACCTATACCTATACCTATACCTATACCTATACCTATACCTATACCTATACCTATACCTATACCTATACCTATACCTATACCTATACCTATACCTATACCTATACCTATACCTATACCTATACCTATACCTATACCTATACCTATACCTATACCTATACCTATACCTATACCTATACCTATACCTATACCTATACCTATACCTATACCTATACCTATACCTATACCTATACCTATACCTATACCTATACCTATACCTATACCTATACCTATACCTATACCTATACCTATACCTATACCTATACCTATACCTATACCTATACCTATACCTATACCTATACCTATACCTATACCTATACCTATACCTATACCTATACCTATACCTATACCTATACCTATACCTATACCTATACCTATACCTATACCTATACCTACTGTTCCCTCAAATTACATACCTATACCTATACCTATACCTATACCTATACCTATACCTATACCTATACCTATACCTATACCTATACAGTGGTGCCTCACATTGCAACGTTAATTCATTCCAGCAAAATCGCTGTTGAACGAAAACGTCACAATGTGAAATAAAAAAGCCCCTAGAAACGCATTAAAATGCGATTAATGCGTTCCTAGGGGCTTCAAACTCACTGTTCAGCGAAGATCCTCCATAGCGTGGCCATTCTCGCTGCCTGTTAAGCGAGGAATCCATCCCAGAAAACAGCAGGCGGCCATGTTGTTTTCCCGGTGGCCATTTTGAAACTGCCGATCAGCTGTGCGAAAATGGTCACTTTGCGATGATTGGTCATCGCAAAGCGAAAATACCCCATAGGGAACATCGTAAAGCAATTGCAAAAGAAATCACAAAAAGTTTGTCGCAAAGCGATTTCATTGCTAAATGGAGCGCTCGCTAAGCGAGGAACCACTGTACATATACATATACATATACAGAACACAAAATATAGTGCTCCTTTCACCCAGGGGACCATCTTATTTTACTTACTTATTTTCACTGCTTATACCTGACCTTCAATCCATCATTTAAGTGTTTCCAGAACCTGTCCAAAAATGCATATACTCTTGGTTTGGTTTCTCTGTTTTCCATTTACTTAGTACAGCACTTATTAATTCTTCCCATATCTCATTGAATTTAAATTTTGTCTTTCGCACTCCTTTTTTGAACTTAATTTCCAAAGTCAATTTATCATTACTGGCATTATTCCAAATTTCGTTGTGATGTTTGTGCACTAGGAAAATCTTGTCTAGCTTCCCTTTTTTTTTGCTACAAGCAGTCGTACTGCTCTTAACGTATTCATTATCATCTCTTTTTTGACATCACTTGCATCATCATTTTCTATTAAAAATAATTGTGCTATTTTTGGTGTCATTTCAGTACCAGTATTTCAGTACCAGCTATTTCCTTCAGTCCTAACACTATTTTTGGTGTAATCTCAATATTTGTCTGATCCCTTCAAAAACTTGCCACCGTAATTTTTTTCCATTTCACAATTCCAACTTAAACACCACTATGTTCCCAATTGTGTCTCACAATTCCAGAATTCCTTAGAAAAATTAGCATCCATAGAATTTAATACTATTGGTGTTAAGCATCAACTCCATATTATTCTATATCCATTTTATTTTATTCTGATTGATGTGTGTTCCTCTGAGTCATAACCACCAGGTCACTGGGAAAAACATCAAAATGGAAAGAGTGGCCGTCATGGAGAGCCACAGGATCTGAGATGGGGAAGCCATACCTGCCACGGCTGCATTCTTGGGTGTCCTAGCCTCTGGCCACCCAACCGGGCCATCCGCCTGAGTCCAGAGGATGACAATGCAGCCTTCAGGGCTCTTGCTACTGCGTGGGCCAGGTTGTAAATGGCGTAGCCATCAAGCGACAGAGTTTCCTCAACCCATTCTCTGGGCAGGGCCCCCAGCCTCTCTGCTTCTTGGCACCTCAACCGCTCTTTCACGGACAACGGATGCTTGGAATAGGAGCAGGTAAACGAACTCAGAAAAAATTCCCATGTAGCAGAAAAAAAGGGGTCAAAATCCTCTTGTCTTGCCCTTTTCTCTCTATGGATGAGGAAGGAGAAAAAGCCATAGATCTCTGGAGAAGCCAGAACATCATAAGACAAGTTTGGAGTGAGGTCCCAGACGGCAGTCGTGATCCAGACTTTCCCCACGGGGAACGTTGCCATGCCTTTAGTCCAAAGTAGCAAAACTACTATGGTAGCGTAGAAGAAGCGAAGTTTCCCATAGTAAATGAGTATCCTGGCCTTGTTCCACTTGATCAATAGGTCTGGAGGCATTTCTATGATTTTTTTCTGGACCGGAGTCCGAACTGAGAAAGCTGTGCATATGGCATTGCTAAGGAGCAAGGAGGTCATCGTCTGTATGAACTGTTCCCCATCGTCAGTGTCTGGCGTGATGAGGCCGACCCAGTTCCATCTGAAATGCAGCAGCAACTGGACGATCCCGAGATAGTGGTGTTCGTCTTTGGGGACCATCCGGTAGATGAATGGATACTGGGTTCTATCGTGAAGAAGGTGGGACCCAAAGCTGTAACTGACCTAAAGCAAGAAAAGGGAGAGAAGAGTCTTCTGGCCCCAGAGGAATTCCAAATGTCAACCTGTCCATCTCCATCTCTTTCAGCTCAGTATGTACTGCCCCTTCCCCCTTCCCCCATCCTCTTATTCATTTATTCATTCATTTATTTGTTTGATTTATATACCACCCATCTACTGTATTCTGTGGCCACTCTGCCTGGTTCACAACACAAAAGTAGATTATAAATTACAATATACCAACTTCAGACATTATATACTCTAAACCATCTCAGTTTAAAATACATTCTATAGAAACAGAAACATTTAGAATGGCAATGGTCAAAAGCATAACGGGTTGCCGGCTTAGAAGAGGAACATTTTCCCTAAAATGGGGGAAAGGAATCTTGGCTGAGACTGAACTTAGTGGCCATGAAAACACATCTCTCCTGCCCTCCCTCCTGGAGGATCCGCATCTCCCATCCGTTTCTGCATTGAATTCAAAGTTCTAATGCTTACCTATAAGGCCCTAAACGGTTTAGGACCTCGATACTTGGCGGAGCGCCTACTTCCACTCGGATCACCCGTACGAGTCAGGAGGTGAGGCTGAGGAGCCTGACGCCAAGGGAGGCCCGGAGGGAAAAGACTCGAGGCCGGGCCTTCTCCGCGGTGGCTCCTTCCCTTTGGAACAATCTTCCTCCGGAGATTCACGAGGACCCTACACTGGGTACTTTCAAATGCCAGCTGAAAACAAGGATGTACATCCAGGCCTTCCCTCCTGTCAACTACTGATTTCTTTTGATTTGCTATTTATTCTTTATTTATTCCTGCACTATTTGTTATTGTTGTATGCTAATGTTTTTATGTTTTTTAATTGTTTTGATATTCTGTAAGCCGCCCAGAGTGGTAGAATATACCAGATGGTCGGGATATAAATCAAACAAACAAACAAACAAACAAACAAACAAACAAATAAATAAATAAATAAATAAATAAATCTCAGTTCTATGCTGTTCCCCAAATGCCAGTTATATTTTCAGCTGAAATCTTGAGAAGTAGATGAGTGTGGACAAGGATATATCACATATATCACATATCATATATCATATACGTATCACAATCATGAGATGCAATAAAGCAGCTGAACTCAGGGAGTTGGCCCCACCCTGGCTTTCATGAACCTCGATATGTCAAGCACTGGCCTTTCTCCTTATCATTATTATTATTATTTGCAGGCATGCAAACTACGGAGGGTCAACCCTGAACACTTTAGGGGTCCTCCCCCATACATACCTTACCACCACCTTAAGACCACCTCTCAAGGGTTGTCAGACTCCTCAAAGGAATAGCTATTGCAAAGTATCAAATTCAAGCACTGGTTGTGATTGGTCTTACTTTTCCCTCTAAATTCTTGCTTATCCTGAGTTCTTTTGTTGTTGATTTATTTCATTCCAAATCTTAAGGTTTCCCTTGGTTGTTCCTTTGCTTAGATTCCACCTCCTGTTTCACATTTCCTGTCAATGGAGGACTAAACTATAGAGCAGGGGATTCCCGAAGTACCTGCGGGATTTTGTAGAGGCCTGACAGGGTGGAAATCTCTTTGGAAATCTCTGATTCCTGCCCTTCCAGGAGGACCAGGAGATCCTCCCTTTGCCCACAGGAGTAGTTGGGGATGTTGGCTTTCCCAGTGGAGAGGAGGTCCGCCGTCACTGCGTACGTCGTCCCCACATCGAAATAGTTGTCATAGACGTTGTAGCCAAGGGTGAGGTTGGGCAAGAGGCTGGGATTCTGGTTGACGTCCCGGAGGGCGAAAAGGAAGGAGAGGGTGTGCCAGTGGTTCGTGGGCCCATTCCTGCAAAACACTCATCAGGTTGTCTTGTCATTATTCCACTGCCCTTAAACACAATTCGAATCATTTCTTAAAGGTTTATAACTCTTCCCAGCAGAGTCTGGAAATGCCTGGATTCTCCCCTGGTGGTGTGACACACGCCACATCCTCAATGGCTTATCTAAAGCCTCTACCTGTATCTACAGCAGGACAATAGCACCTAAATAAGAGTCCCATTTACTTAAAAAAAAAACCCAAGTGGACGTAACATTTTTCTCTCCCAGTTACACTGGGGGGCTCAGGCATGTGTCTGCAAGATAAGACGTTTGATGCATCGGATCCTTCCCTGGCTTGACTCTTGTTTTGGAAGGAGCTCAATGGGACTTGACTGGATTTTGGTGGGATTCTGCCTGAGTCCCCTAAATTGGTTTGCAGGGATTCAGAACATTTCCTTGTTTTGCTGAGTGAGAGCCATCATCCATACCAGCAACTGGTACAGGAAGCACAGGTAATGGAGGTCCAGGTAAATATTTTATGTCTTTGTCTACAATTACAGGGTGGGGGACTTTTGGTTTAGGTATCTGCCTGTGGGGCCAGAGGTTGGGAATTCAAATCCCCCACTGGGGCTCCTTGACTTAATCTGAAGTGGATGATCCATAGGCTCCCTTCCAGCTCTGCAGTTCTAAGGCTACTATTATTGTTATTGTTACTAGGCCTCTGGCCGCGGAGCCAGATGTGGGAAGTTTGATTCCCCACGGGGCCCCCTGGACAGGGGCTGGGCAGGATGACCCAGAGGGTTCTTTCCAGCTCTTACAGTTCTCAGATTATTATTGTTACGAATTCAAGTGAAGATCTTTTAGGACAACAGTTGGGCGAAAAATGATGATGTAATTTTTAAATATCAATTTTATATGAAGCCTGCAAAAAAATGTATTGTTGAAAAGGCGAAAGACTGAACTGGGGAAAATTATGAGCCCATCAATTCACAGGAAGCACCCTCTGCTTGTCTCTTGGGTCCCCCCCCCTCTCTCTTTATCAGCTCCAAAAGAACACAAAAAATGAAAATAAACAAAACACAAAACATGACAACAGATATGCTATCCATAATTAGGGCAAGTCAAGATATTACACAATGTCCGATAAATAACATGAAAAAAAGCCAAGCCAGATGACCCACCGAAGGCTTTCGCAAATCTTTCAAACATAGAGAAATATTTCAAAGCATAACACATGGCTTATTTAAAAGAGGGGGGAGAGATAAAAGAATGAACCCAAAATAAATTTCAGAGTCAGGTGATAAGTGCCTTCTCTGTGTGGACAGGAGGCTCACTTGGAAACTGCCGCCCAGATCTGTCCATCGTCTGGAATGAGGAACCCTGTCCCTTCCGTTGGCTTGCGCTTGGGATACAGAAAGCAAGGAACACAGGCTTTTGATAACATAGAAAACTCACGCTACAACTCTGGTGACGGGAAGCACCGAGAAGTTGACAAGCTGGAAAAGGACAGGCCTTGCTGATATCACTCCGCCAATGT